GAGAAGTGGCGCTTTCAGGTCACTTTTGAGTCATGCTGCAAGAGCAGTTAAAGGAAGCTTTTTACTTCTACGATCTAAGTTCTGTTATATCTGCCAGCAATACGAGACTTAAATATCCAAGAATTCTGATCTAACTTGGACATTTCTTTGCTTTAATATAAAATCAAATGTTAAACAGTGTTACCAAAAAGAGAAAGTACTGCTAAAGTGGGAAGTCGAGGAGAGGAGCGTGCTCAGTTCTTCCTGTTAAAAGTGTGATCATCCACAACACGCACTGAATTCAGCGGGCACTGCGACTGCCCAGTGCTCCACAGCAGCAGGTCCTTCCCTAGGAACGAACGCTCTTTGGTTTGATGCAACCACCAAAGGTACTGCAGGCGTCTCACTGGAGAGCATCTCAAATCCAGCATTCTTATTTATGGTTTTCACTTCTCTCAGTGGACCTCATAACAGGCTGTTTGGGGTTAATGCACTAAAGATGAAACATATTTTCTGATAAAACAGTAAAATATCATTTTTCTCCAAGTATTAATGTTTGGTCCAAAAAAAAAAAAAAAAAGAAGAAGGAAAAGCAAAAGAAAAAAAAAAGAAAGCAGAATGACTGCGAATACTTTGGTTTATAATGCATCTGTAGAAAGATTTCTCAAAAGCACATCCATAAATCAGTTTCTGTTTTCCACTAAAACTGGGGCCACAGCTTTTCTGAAACACTAGAACTTAAGGATTTAACGCATATTTGAGGTTTGCCTGTATCTCTGAGGTATAGTAAGGTATAGTGACCCATGAAAGAAAAGTTATCTCACTTCTTTCCATGCGATAATTTTTGAAACTAACTAAAAGGCTCAATAAAAATTTTTAAAAATGAACAATCAACACCAGTGTAACTTTTTAATCCTTCCTTAAGTAATGTAACTGTTTAACACTTTCTTAAAGAAGCACCAACAAATTTCAAGTCTGATCCTAATGTAGTAGGGGATAAGACAGTTGTCCAAGGGGGAAAACACCAAAAACAAATAAAGGCTGAATCTATTATGTGCGCATAAGCTAAAATTCTGCCAAATTAGTAACAAAACAATTCAGTAGTCCTTCAGAGTGCTGGCTTTCCCAAATTTTGTTTCTGAATTTCAGAGATAGGGGGGATAGCAGGGAGCCACTGGAAACAATGTACACTTTGTAGACAGTCATGGAACATTTTATGAAGAATAGTCTCTATGGTGAGGTTAAGCTTATGCAATAAATTATTCTAAATGTTGCATAAAAATATATGTATTTTTAGTCCATGGAATTCTAGTTACTAGCAGTATGACAAAGTACTGAACTATACCTCCCTACCCGCTTTTGTTCAGTATTCCTCTGCTTTTTTCATTTTGATGGGTTTTGCTCCCCCCCCCACTCTTTTTTCTCAGTATCCCTCTTTTTAAAAACAACTATAGTCTATCCCTCTACCTCTGCTGTCTGGCTGTATTTTTCCACTGCATTGACAACTACCAGTGAATGCAAGAAAGATGAGTGGTAGGCTCCTTTATGTTTGAACCAGGTAGCAAATCACAGAAGAATCTAGTGCATAATTCTGCAAGGCTAAGCACTGGGAGCAGTAAAGACCATTATTTTCTCCCTACTGTTGGCAGGGGTCAGCATCCCTGTCATTAGCTGTGTCAAACTATAATTATGTAACTGCACTTTATGTGAGAAGATATCCGAAAACACTGTAAAACTACAAGTGTGAAAATATACCAATTCTTCTTAAAGTACCAATAGAAGCAATCTCTGGAGGTGACACTGCAATAAGGAAAGCAAAAAATAATTTTATTTATTGCTCTCTGCATAAACATTTGAACTTTTAATCTGACTTCTTCAAGTACTTCAAAATCCCTGACCATATTCAACCATTGAATTACTACACTATGATTATCAAAGTTATTTCTTTTGCAATGTTCAGCTCAATTAAGGAACGTGATCCTTCTTAAAATAAACTTCAGTTGAACAGGCTACTCTTATTAGCCTGTAAATGTCTGAAACGCAATTATGCTTCAAGTTTCAAGAGGCAAACAGTACTAGCCCCAACTCTAAATCTGTCCGTCCAGTGTAAGAGCTCCACTATGTTATTTCAAAGGCTGACCTATATACAGCAGCGTACCGTCCAGTCCGTCTGTTTGCATAAGAGATACCTCACACAGTTGTCATAACCAACATTGTTTGCATTGTTCTTTCACTTTTCTCCCTCCATGGGTAATATGAGAGAAACAAGGAAAAGCCTGCATAACAGTACAGGCAGAGAGTATAATGAGCTTTCACAGCAGATAGATAGAAAAAGGGTAGGCTAAGATGCTTAGAATGTGATTTTAGGTTTATAAAATAAAGATCTAAGCAGTCTTCTGAAACAAAGACTGCCAGCTGAAAATAGTAAGATAAGATGGGACTGTCTGAGTCTACATTACTGCATCTTCCTTTGACTATGGAAAAATGCACTGTCGATACCTCCAATACATGTATTTGTGAACTCACTCATATGCTATGAATAATCATTTGATGAGGAAAAAAATCCCAGTATTAACAAAGCTTAAAGTTAATAAAACTTAAAAGTCTAAGTATATGTGGAATACACCCTAAATTATCAGCAGGTCAAGCAGACTTACAACAGAAAGCTAATCAAAATCTTCCACATTCACCTAAAAAAAACCCTAAGTATGAAAACAAGGGCCAAATCCACCAGTAAGTGCTCAAAGCAAGCTTTTACTAACCTTACAGGAAACCAGATCCAGTTCTGAATGGGTTCTGCAGAATTTAGTCAAAGGTAAACAACTAATCAAGACCAGATCATCACTCTACTCCACAATATGCATCCATCACACGCCTGCAATCATCTCCTTTACGAGTACAGATCAACTGCAAACAGTCAACCAAACTTCCTGAGCGCAAAATTCGGCAGGCCGCCTTGCAAACTCCCTAAGCACACACAGCATGAACATGAGTGACAGAGTAATACTGTAACATGACTACATGTTTAGAACAAGTCAGATAAGTTTTCACAGCAATGTTAATCATGCTGGGTGAAGGGAGAGAGCAAAGGGGGTGAAAAATGAAATGTTCAGTAAACGTACGCCTCTCAGGGGCCTAGCAAACCTACTCCGTCCATTTAATATAATCAGTGGTCAGCGGCAAAGACATCCGATAGAGACATTCATCCTATACTCAGTATCTTACGTGAAACATTCCTAGTAAGTCTTTTCCAAGCATAAAACATATGTCTTATGACTGTGCATTTTTAAGTACGTTATCAGTTCAGGCAAAGTGAAATAGAAAAGTTGCAACTTGTCTACAGAATGAGTGTCTCATTTGCATTTAAAAAGAACAGTTTGCTCCCTCATACATGGCATGACTTAAAAGAAGCTTTAACCAGCTAGTAAAGAAATTCTTAAAATGACTTTCTAAATTAATTCATTCGATTTGCAGTGCAACCCACCAAAAATGATTTAAGGAACTTAACTGGAAAATGATTTAATATATTAAAGTAATTCCTGATTTTCCAAAGCATTTCACTTTTAAATTAAATCTGGCCCACTCTCTCAAGAATGATGAGTGAAATGTGTATTCAAGTCATTACCTTCTTTTTGAAGCTTTAAATCACTGATAGGCTTAATAACGTTTGTCCAGTTTCATTGCCAAATGGGTCTTCAGACACTTTGGGGCTTATGTCATCAATTCTACCCGAAGCTTCGTACTTGGCAACACTTCATGGTCACAATTCACAAAAACAGGCAACAGAGAAAATAATAGCAACTCAACAGATCGAGGGTAGTAGCCTCATGACTTCTAAAAGCACTTAAAAACTTAATACGCATACACATGCTTATAGGCATCTGGACTCTCCCTCCTGAACAAAGTTCACTCTTTGCACAAACTTCTGCTCTATATGGCAGCCTAGACAGATACTGCAAAATACAGTTACTTAAAACACTTGCTAACAGTCATACCTCTGGGCTCTCTCTTGCAATATCCTTAGGCATCCACCACAAAGGGACAGATTTATCCCTGAATTCTGTAACTCCTTTGAGTGTATGTGAATTGCAGCCCGGATGAATTTGGTCCTTTCTGTTGTGATTGGTAGATTGGACCATGTGGGAAATCTTTCCTGAAAACTGAGAGGGTTTCATCCCAGTGCTGCAGCCTCTGCGCTTTTAAAACAGGCATATTCTGTTTTGCGGTTTTATCTCTGAACCTAGGCAGCTGCCAGGAATGAAAGAGATGGCTCTAAATATCTTTCTGACACGTGAGCCCGTCGTGACAATAGGCGAGCACAAAACAATGCCGTTTGCGAAGGGGGTCGAGGTAAGCGGAGTGCCCCCGCCGGGGCGC